GGGGTTTCACCATGTTGACCAGGATGGTCTCGATCTCTTGACCTCGTGATCCACCCGCCTCGGCCTCCCAAAGTGCTGGGATTACAGGCTTGTGCCACCACGCCCGGCCTCTGCTTAGATTTTAAACTTGGAAAGTCTAATGCTTCTGCATCCTCTGATTGCAAAACAGGACAGAAACATTTTTTTTTTTTTTTTTTGAGATGGAATCTTGCTGTTCATCAGGCTTGAGTGCAGTGACGCAATCTGGGCTCACTGCAACCTCCGCCTCTTTCAACCAATTCTGCCTCAGCCTCCCAATTAGCTGGGACTTCAGGCATGTGCCACCACACCTGGCTAATTTTTTGTATTTTTAGTAGAGACGAGGTTCTACCGTGTTAACCAGGATGTTCTTGATCTCCTGACCTTGTGATCTGCCCGCCTCGGCCTCCCCAAGTGCTGGGTTTACATGCACGAACCACTCTGCCCCACCGAAACCATTTAATGAATGAGCTGATGCTCAAGCAAACAAAACATCAAGCAAGTCACCTTTGTAATCTTGAGCAAAAACTAAACCTCAGAGATTACACATATGTGACATGCAACATTTTGCAGGTTACAGATACATGGCTTGTTTTCCAATTCAAGTAAAATGTGTTCCTATCCTCACCACTTCATCTGATCCTCACAGCAACAAGTCTTACTCCACTTCATCCACAAAGGAAAACAAATTGCACAAAACCAGACATTAGGACTGGCAGATTATTTACTGCAAAAATTAGACACCACGCAAGGGCCATTAAAGACATGACTACAAATAACTCACAATAACCTATTTCTAACTATACCATATCATTAGTGCACTCTCACTTTCACCACAAACGTGATCACTTAATAGGAAAATCAGTTCACAAGGCAACTGTCATCTTCCCTCTCATGCAATCATCTTCAACTGTGAAACCGTATGGTGTAACATGTTTGGAAATGTTCCCAAAATGAAAATTACAGAGCAAGTCCTGAGACTTGTGTTTTTGTGTGGTAAAGGGGACCAAGATACACTGTTCTAGTGAGAAATGTTCTATAGAACAGCTTATGTATTATTTCATTTAATCTCCATAGTAACACTTCGAGGTAAACTCTCATTCCCATTTTATCTTTTGAAATGGGAGTCTCCCTCTGTTGCCCAGGCTGAAGTGCAGTGGTGCAACCTCTGCTTTCTGGGTTCAAGCAATTCTTCTGCCTCAGCCTCTAACGCAGCCGAGAATACAAGCATGCAACTGGCTAATTTGTCTTTTTTTTTTTTTTTTTGAGACGG